GGTTTATGTTTCACCTCTTCCCACCTCACACCTGAGGGTTATATGGTTCTTACCGGCCTAACCCAGTGTTGGCAAGGTGGCCCCATACAACTCACCTGTTTAAAAGCCTCTGAAGATGAGTTAGTGATAATTACTATAGTTGGGGCAAATGTGCTGAGCACCTCATAAGCATTATCTCCTTTACTCCTTATAGCAACGTCCAGTGAGGTGGACACTGCTGTTATCTTTGTGTCATGGATTGAATTGTTTCCCACAAAAATACCTGTCAACTTGGCTAGGTCATGATTCCCAGGATTCTATGATTGTCTGCCTTTCGTCATCTGATGTGATTTCCATATATGTTGTATATTCTATCAATACGATGTAATAAGATGGATTAGTGGCAGTTATATTGATGAAATCTACAAGATTAGATAGTGCCTTAAGCCAATCCCTTTTGAGACATAAAAGAGAGAAGTGAGCAGAAAGACATGGGGACCTCATATCACCAAGAAAGCTGTGCCTGGAGCAGAGCGTGTCCTTTGGACCAGAGGTGCCTGTGCTGAGATATTCCGAGACCAAGGGAAGACAGATGCATCACAAGGACCTTTCTCCAGAGCCAACAGAGAGAGAAAGCCTTTCCCTGGAGCTGATGTCTTGAATTTGGATTTATAGGTTACGAGATGGTAAGAGAATAAATTTCTCTGTTAAAAGCCATCCACTTGTGGTATTTCTGTTATAGCAGCACTAGATTATTCTGTTTTACAGCTAAACATACTGACGCCTGGAGACCTTTTCGTGGAGACCAAAGATCCCACAACTATTAAGTGGTGGAGGCAGAACATGAACCCAGACTGATTCCAGAGCCCAGCCTAAGGTCCTAGCCTCTGACTGTGGCAACCACCCTCCCACTGTGTAAGCTATCTTTCCACTTTCTTGATAACACCCCTTGATATATAAAAGTTTTAATTTTAATGAAGTTCAGCTTATTTATTTTTCCCTCCTGTTGTTCGTGCTTTTGGTGTCATATCTAAGAATCCATCATCTAAAAGAAGATTTTTAAAGCTTTATGTTTTCTTCTAAGAGTTTTAGGATTTTAAGTCATTGACCAATTTAGAATTAATTTTTAAATATGGCATGAGGTAGGGATCCAACTTCATTCCTTTACATGTGGAGATCCAGTTGTCCCAGCACCATTTGTTGAAGAGACTATTCTTTCTCCTTGAATGGATTTGGCACCCTTATCAGAAATCACTGGACCATCGATACATAGGTTTATTTCTAGATTCCCAATTCTATTCCATTGGTTTATTATGTCTTTATACCAGTACACAGTTTTCATTATTGTAGCTTTGTAATACATGTTGAAATGGGGAAGTGTGAGTCCCCCTACTGTGTTCTTTTTCAAGATTGTTTTGGCTCTCTGGGCCCATTGTAATTCCATATGAATTTGAGGACCAGCTTTTCCATGTGTGAAAAAAAAAGACTATTGTAATTTTAACAGAAATTACATTGTATCTGTAGATTGGTTTGGGTAAAATTGACATCTTAACAATATTGTCTTCCAATCCACGAACACAGGATGTCTATTTATTTTGAGTGCCTTAATTTCCTTCAACAATGTTTTATAGTTTTCAGTGTACAGATCTTTCAGCTCCTTGGTTAAATTCATCCTTAGGTATTTTAAACTTAGATGCTATTGTAAGAAGAATTATTTTCTTAATATTTCAGAGGTTGTTCATCAGTGTGTAGAAACACTGATTTCTATGTGTTGATCTTGCACTTTGCAACTTTGCTGAATTTATCAGCTCTAGTAGCTTTCTTGTGGACTCTTTGGAATTTTCTATATATAGTTATCATGTCATGTGCAAATAGAGATAATTTTATGTCTTCTTTTCTGGTTTGGATACCTTTTTTTCTTGCCTAATTGCTCTGGCAATGACTTCCAGTACAATGTTGAATACCGGCAGTGAAAGGGGGTATCCTTGTCTTGCTCCTAATCTTAGGGGCAAAGCTTTCAGTTCTTCATCAGAGTATGATGTTTGCTGTGGGTTTTTCATATCTGACCTTTATTACGTTGAGGAATTTCCCTTCTATTCCTAGAGTTCTGATTAGTTTCATCGTTTGGATTTTGTCAAATGTCCTTTCTGCACCCACTGAGATGATCATTTTTTTTTCCCTTCATTCCACTGATGTAGTGTATTATGATTGCAATTTGGAAAGAATATTGTGAACCACTCTTGCATTCCTGGGATAAATCCC